GAAATGGTCTGTTACTCATTCTGTGCACTGCAGAATCTGTTTTTATGCACATATATGGCAGATGCCTGAAATGTTCCATTTCTTCTGTGTTACTCAGAAAATGAATAGAAAGTACTTTAAAATAATAGGATGCCAGCTATATAGGGATTGAAGGGCTATATTGCATTGAAACTTATCTATAATCTTAGGGTGATCAAAAGAGACCTCTAGGGAAATACCTTTCTGTTATAGACTTTATTAGAATGGAATTAGGATTAAAATTACTAGATGATGAGGTGGAATAGATGAACTATTTGTAAGACTGCCGAGGGACGTATTTGTACAGTGAATATTTTTACACCCAAAGGCAGAAGATTATCTAAGAAAAGTCAATGCTATTATACAAACAAGTGATGGTGAGTTCTGTGAGACATCAAGGAGGATGGGCAAAAGAGCTGCAAGGGGTGAAGATCATGCAGTCACTCACAACAGCAACAATCCTCAACCCCAGAGGTAAGCATACCCAAAGAGAACACATTTGCATTCTTTTGCGTTGTACTGATACTCAATTCTCATGCATAGTTCTCTGAAGTGCCAGATTTCACACACTGCCTAGTGCTCTCTCAGCTCCTTGTAGTTTAGACACACAGCACTGGACAGGAAGGGTTTGGTAATTTGGGGAACCAGATGCAACTTTGTTAACACCAGGAGTTATTGCGGGCAAAGTGTGATTAAACATTACATATTTGCTGTAAACCAAATAGGGATGCTGAGAATAGAAGACTTCCCCTTACTGTTAGGAGCGAAGTATCTTATTCACAGTTCAGTCATTATGTACGTCTCCGGCACATTTGTTGTTAAAAGGGCACTTTTAATAATCTGAATAGAAGTGATGCATGTGTATCAAGGAAGAAATGTAGTTATTACTTTAATGATAATAACAGGGATGACGTGATGAGAATGATACAGAGTAGGAAAGTTGATAAATGTGTACAGGTAAGTGTTCTAGCACTTTTGGCTATGAGAAAAAGGCAGGAAATAAGCTTGCCTGGAGGACAGACGCAGCCATCTGTACAATGATCTTCACAAAGTGCGGATCGTTCCGGGTTGCTGCATGTGTCAGAGCAGGGGGAGCCACACTCCTGGTATTGCATGTTGAAAGGACATGATTTGGCTGAAAGTAGAAAAAGTATTATAATGCTGATTTTTCCCTTGAAATGTTGAGAAAGCAGTATTTGCAATTTAGGATGTTTTCTGTCAAGATACAATGGGGAATCCAAGTGGAGGCTGCAACATTTAGACTTTCTGATATATATATAAACTCTCAGTAATGCAAAACCCTCTAAGCGTCCATATTCCCAAAGTCTTGAGTATGCTCAGGTTAAAACTGATTTTGTGAAAATTACATGCACTTTTAAATGTCTATCTTCTTCGGGAAAAAAATTTCACATATTTGAAGTTTACTAGATGTATGTAGTAACACAGGTGAAAGTCCCTTCCTGAGATACTTACGACACAGTTCTGAGGTCCTCCAGTTCAGAGGCTGTCCACCTGCATGAGCGCACTGCCGGGAGTATTCAGCAAAGGTGTTGCACATGCAGAAGTCAGCCATAGAGCTATCACAGTGGCATAGGTCTTGTATGCAAGTTTCAATGTAGTCCTGAGCATTCACAAGTGCATTACAGCTTGTAAATGCTCTGCTGGTTAATACTGTCTCACAGATAGAAGTCTAGGAAGGAAAATAGAGGAGGTAAAACAAGTCTTTAGAAAATATGAAACTAATTATTTAAGGCATGTAGCAGAACAAATCAAAGGTCCATCTGGTCCAGAAGTGTGTCCAACAGTAACCATAAGCAGATGTTTAGGGAAAAGTATAACAACAGGGCAAGTACACGTGGAACTCTTTTATTGACTCCTGAGTATATTGAGTTACTTTAAGCTGACTTCCCAAGCATTATACAGTTTCTTTGTGTTGGGACATCCTCAGTGAATTTCTCTTTCATGAAAATATCTGGCCTTCTCTTGGAAGGGGAATGCAACTTTTTAGCATTTGCTTTAGCAAAGAATAAAAAATTAAATTTAGAAAAAATGTCTTTCCAAACCTACGGTTGAGTCATATTTGTGCTATATTTTTTCTGATCCTAACAAATTTTCTCCAAAGACAGGGAGAATGTATTTTGCACTGAGAAAACAAATTTTGAGAGACAGGTTCTTACAAATTCAGCTGAGCAGTTTGTCAGAACAGCAGGAGGAAGAGGATCATCACACTGCTCTGTGGGTCCATCCATCTTCTGCTTATTCCCAAACAGTGTGGGAGAGAGTTCTGTGTCTGTAAAAAGCAGTCCAAATATTAGAATAATATTTACTGGTTTACTGGCTTTTGCATGGAGCTATTTTCTTCATCACATGGACAGTGATTACCAAATAATATTGCTATAATATGAAAGGCAAAAGGACATGAAGAAAGTTTACAAGGAACTGGATCCTAACTATTGAAAACAAGTACGAAGTTGCATGCGGCAGGTCTTAAAAGATCTAACTGATGGAAGCAGCCTCATGCATCTCAAAGCCCTGACTCTATACATAACTGACATCATAGAAATACATCAAGAAGTATCACTAGTTTTGCAGTTAATATGACCCACAACCTATGTTACAGTATACTGCTAAAAGAAAGAAAAACAAAGCACCATTGTGCACATGTTTTTTGTTACTTACTCTCTGACATAAATTCATTGTACTTTGGAATTCCATTGAAGTCCCCACAAAGTCCGCAAGTTTGATTGGCATATTTCTTATCTAGTTCCACCTAAAAGAAATAAGGAAAGAGAGCTTAGGTTCATAGTAATGTTGGCATTGGTGGTCAGGAACACAGCCTACATAAATGTTGCTTATGTGCTCAACATTTGACATATGTATGTTGTGCAGACTGTGTCGTGGGGTGATAAGGTAGGCACCATTGGGAAGGTCAGTGACTACCAAGAAAATCTTGGTCTTATTCTAGCCCTGGGGCTGTGGACATCAGTGCATTGCTGTGTCTGGAATCTGAGGAGTACTTCACTGTGAGGTAGGAGCGTTACAGTTGGAGGTCTATTAATCCTGAGCTGAGCTTGGTGGGGAAAAATAAAAGGGAATTGGGAGAAGACTGGAAGACAGAACAATACACTAAAAATGGACACAAATCCAAAAGTAGCTAATGCCTGCCTGGCTAGTTAAGACTGCAAATATATAAACAGACTATTTTCAAAATAAAGGCTATTTTCTGCCATGTTTGGATGTTTTCTTACCAGGAGGGCATCCTCTTCATTCCAAAGGAAGGTCAGTCCTAACTTGGCAGAAATTCTCAAACAGTCATTACTTTTCTCTATCAAGACTCCCATATGGCTGTAGGGCATCTGAACCCTGGGGAAAGATCACTGTAATTCAGTAAGGATAGGGACAGAATATCCATTGAATATCCTCACTGGCATCCTTCCTCATTCTCTCTGTGAAACTTCAACATGCGTAGGTAAGGAAATTAGTCAGAGCAGTAACTAAATACAGACCACACAAGTTTCTAACATTTTGCTGTTTCTTCTGCAATTGCTTCTCATTGTGCAAATAGGTCAGCCTTGCTTTCCTTTTGTCTATCTCTGCTAATGGTGTTTTGCTAGGTAAAACGTTGGCATGCATCTTTGGTTGTATTGTTCAAAAAAGTGCTGGGAGGTTCTACTTTGCAGGCAGTATGCTTCAGGATATTGCTATTTACTGCTTAAACCCCTCGATAATAAAGGGATAGACTCTAGGCTTTCTCTAACATGAGTGCCACTCACAAAGGTGTACCCAAGATAACCTTTAGACTAACTTGCTGTACATAGCTGTTATAACACACAACTCACTGTAGGACAGGTGCCCAAATATTTACCCAGCCTTTTGGACAGGTTTCACACCCTGTACCAAAGTCAGTGCTACCATTGCTACAAAGATAGCAAGTTTCCACACTAGGCCATTTTAAATGAGCACAGGTACAAGCTTCAGTCACTGCTTAACTGCATACTGTTCAGTGCAAGGACAAAAGCCATCAAAAATTCTTATCAAGGATCCTGTTCTGGTAAAATTAATGGAAAGTAGAAACTTACAGGGTGTAAAAACCTAATGTTTTGACTGAATCCAGTTTATAGACTCAATTGTATATACAGATGCATAACTGTAGCAGTGGGGCAGCATCTAGGATATAGCTCATCTGAACGAAATGGATACAGGGATGCTCTGCAGAAGTGACATTTAGCTCACTGTCAGGCCCTCCTGTTTTTGGTGATACTTCAGGAGGGACCTGAGCCCTCCAGCTGTTTGGGAGCAGTGTGAGATCAGATGAGGGAAAGGGATGCTTGCTCAAAGAGCCCACTCAGAGCAAGAGCAGTGATGACAGTTTAAAGTTATGAACATACGGTTTTCTATCAACCAGGACAGAGCCGCGGGTCAGTTCAATCAATGCTCCTTCCAGCTTCATGATGACGTGTTTAATCGTGGTAGCATTTTGCCCTGTTGTACGCCTAATCTGGATGTTGAAGTCCTCATAGGGAGATTTGCAGTTGGATGCAAAGACATAATTGCAGACCCCAGGGAAGTAAAAGATGTCTCCGTCAAAGGTCTTAAAGTGGAAGTTACCCCACGTGCTGCACACACGGCCATTGTGAGAGGGGTTTCCAGCTGTGGATTCAAAACAAGCAGTAAGAATTTTCTGCGATTTGATGTAGATACCCTCCCTTTAGTTGCTTTTCCCCTTTTGTTTCTCTTCTTGTCAAGCTATTTGTTTATCGATCTGTTATTTATTTACTTCAGTTAGCTTTTGTGTTTAATCTGTTTTGCATAGGGATATATGGCCTAAGATCTGAAGAGACTTCCCAGATCGCTATGTCCAATGATCTGGTTCTGCTGACAGACATATTCTATAAATCCTTTCCTAAGTATATGAAGTTCTAAAGTTTCACCATAAAACCAGTTTAAAGTCAGTTTAAAACTAACTGGTACTCTTACTAGGGAAGTCCACTCATAGACACAGCCTTTGAATGGCTGGAAGCCTTTTGCTAGCATTTTCCAAAACGTATTCCTGTCTCTTGTATGCCTGGTTGTTCTCGTGCCAGTATTACACTCCACCTTGAAGGTGTTCCACCTCCCTGGTCTTCTCCACACCTGTTACAGAAATCATTTATCTCTTTTCAGTCTTCAATTCCTTTGTGCTTTGTGCAGATTAATATTTCCCTCTCTTTACTGGAAATATTGTACATGATTTATCCAAGTACTCTTTACGTATATATGAAAAATATAAATTTAAAAAAAAAATTTTACAGCTGCATTATCTTAACAAAATGCAGGCTGAGTACTGGAGTTGTATTTAGATTAACCTTGTTACCTGATGAACTGGAATTTTCTTGTTCATTTTTTATTTTATGATGCTAAAGGATCGTACTCAATTTAGTAATCTTTTCAGTCGTTCCATGCTCTGCCCGTGTGGTCAACAAGAACACAGATATCTGAGCCGTGACACTTGTTTAACTTACGTTTTACTTTCAGTGCGCTTTTCAAAGGTGCAATGATGTTTACTTCTTGGAATTTCGAAGGTAGTACAAATTCTAAGGGGGGGAAAAAACGATCAGGTTTAATCTTATTAGAAGTTCTAAAGGATGGATAGAGATTGCTTAGCCTCTTCAGTGATTAACATTTCCTACTACTAGTCACACTCTAGGGGGAAGTTTCCACAAGGTTTTATTGGTGGTTTTTACACAGTGCTTTTTGTTCTGTCTTTCTGTGTATTTCACCAACAGCCAAATCCCAAAGGCCGTGCTCTTTGGCTGTAGTGTTTTCTTCCATTAGTTGTTCAATACTCCCATCTGATGCTGGCCCTGATGTTCTGAACTCAAAAGTAGCAATCTGATCCTTAGAGCACAGTGTTGCAGTAGTGATGCAGAAAAAACAGTGCTAATATCTATGTCTGAACCTTTGCCTCCCAGTAGACTTAGAAGCAGAAGGTTACTGAAGAGTATTAAAGCCAAGGATGAGAAACAGGAGCTAGTTTTTTTTTTTTCTGAAACACATCTTTCTTTGTGCTGAGATATGCACTTTTGCACAACCAATTCTGAGCAGATTTTTTTCAAAAGACTTTAAATTCTGTGAACCTTTAATCATGTGTTTTTCATGCAAAGACTTCTATTGGTAGGATCCAGCCCTACGTTTTCCATGTCCAAATCCAATGTTTTCTCTTTGGATTGAGCAATGAAAGGGATAGAATACTTAGAGAACCTGCAATGTCATTTTCTTAACATGAGAGTCTGAGGAATTGATTCAGTTTCTCCCTTCAAAATCAAATTTGTAGAATTCGATTACTTCCAAACTGTAGATTGTGCAATATAAGCCATTGACTTCTGCATTTAGACCAAAAAATATCACTAAGACAAATATGCGTTTTAGAAAGACAATTTCATTTAGTCTTGATGTAAGGATTTTAAGGGAAAGCACACATACTCTCTTCCTTGGCAATCTGTTCCAATAATTAAATGCACTCACTATTATTAAATAATTTGTGGTACACTTCCAGTTTGGATTTATCATTATTGTCATTGCCAGCTAGTGACCTCACAAACTGCAGATTGCAGGGCAGGCTTAATGATTAATTGTTTCAGCCTGTCATCAGCAATATACCAGTCAGCACTGTGTCCTTCCACCCTTATTTTTCTCTGTACAGTAACGGTGTTTGCTTTGTACAGTTGTGTCATGCATGGTCTTGTAGTGCTTAATTATTCTAATGCTTAAGGTGGTTACAAGTTTCTTGTTCTCTCGTGAGTGATGCAGTCATCTTGACACAGCATAAAAAAATGTATCTTTTATTACCTACTATCAAGTACCTTGGTGATATGTATGTATACACACACCTCTTCTGAAAACACACTTTTAGATAGAAGGTATGTGCCTTTCATGAAGTTAAAGATTAGATAACTGTATCATATCGGTAGACCAGATCCACTGGGCCAGATCTCAGAGGAAGTTCTCCAGTTTAGAGCACTCAGAGATTGTCTGGGAATTAGATAGAATTAGATATACTGTACAGAGGATT